GCATTGAGTTCTCGCATCAGTTTCTTGCAGTGAGTAAGGGAAGACACTTTACATAACATATGCGGCTCATATAGTCGGAGTGAGTCTGGGTGATGATAAAAAACTAACACAGGCTGACAAGCTTATGAAGAAGATGCATCGAAGTTTCACAAATAACTGTTTAAAATTATATTGAAGACGAATGATTTAAATCATTATAAAACTTCAGATGCCTACTCAATTTTAAGCCATGAGCGTTTTCATAAGGTGCTGCAATACTATGTATGTTAGGATGACGCTGATCCATCATCGTACAACGAAAGCAAAACTCTGACGGAAATTATTAAGATGAAACCGAGAATATAATTGTGGCCTAGCACGGGGAGCAAGAGTAGGGCGAGGCGTTATTTTCTCTGCGGCCACAACAATGGAGAAAAATGCGAGCACAACGCCACGCGATCAGAAGCCCCGCGGCCACAGCGCTGACCAGTCATTAGAGACCGCCGACTGGGCAGGGGGAGGGGGGGGGGACGAGGGGGCGGTGTCTAGCAGCTCACTCTCAACGAGAACAATTGCGTGCACTATCTTGAGGTGAGGATTTTTAGTGCTTGCAGGGGACATCATCAGTGCTTGCAGGGGCCTGCATCATCATCATCAATACATTATAGAAAGTAGCGTGTCTTTGTAATATGATTATTGATATCAGTAGAGCGCGCGAGAGAATACTGTGGCATCAATTATTTATTTATTAATTTTGATTGATGCTTTCGAATTGCAATGAAATTCTGGCCAACATGAGGAATGTTAAACAGTTAGATGGTGTACTAAATAAATGGATATTATGACTGCTGCACTTGCGTCATTTTTGCTAGAGATCATAAGTAATCAAATCAATCGAATAAATTTATCGCATAGATTTCAAAAATGCAATCAACAGAGCTTGACAACAATGAGAGACTTAGTGGGAAATTGAATGTATTTAGAAATACAAAAACGACATAATTTATAAATTCGTTTATATTCATGATTATGAATAGAAACGAACAATGCAAAAAAGGTATAATTAGCGGCTAGTCATGGCCGCAAAAGTCCGACTTGCTGAATAGATAGCGGAAAGACGCCCACCCTCGCCCAATTTGAATGATTTGGGATAACACAAATTGTAATGTGCAAAGTGGCGCCATCACAAGAAATTAGGATCATGACCAGGCTGGTGACGCCGGCCGCGGTCCTAATGCCTATAATAGCGAGTTGCCCTGCGCGCACACGGAATATTTTACTGAAAATGTTACCCTCTGCGACACTCGTGTCTTGCCATCGGCCATCTCCTCGTCTCAACGATGCATAAAAAGTTCATGTGCACGTCGCACCTGTTGTGGTGAGCCATGGTTGAACTAGTAGATATATAGTTCAACCATGAACCATGTGGTAAGCCATCTCGTGATGATTGGTGAGGCCGCATGTGATCAAATTCTAGAACATTTTACCGTAGATATTGTCCGTGATATTGACTGGGAGCTGCGAAAAAGAGTTTAATATTTTCACGAAATTATTTGAAAACAGAAGATGGAGAGAGAACATAAAGTGAATTTGAATATATTTTAATTTGAAACGTCGTCTGCCATTTAGTATTAGTCTTAGAAGCCGGATGTTGCTACCTGACAATGTAAATACCGGCCTGGATTTGAAATGGCCTGGCTTACAAGTCGACGGACATCACAGCACCAAGCTCGCCGACGTTCAATAAAACTTTGCTAAAATCAAGACGAGAAAAGCATTTAACTGCGTTTAATTTTGTCTTATAGGAGCTATTTGATTATAGAATGTAATTATTTTTATGTAATATAAACAGTGTTGCTGTCTGTGCTCTTGAGAGTCTCGTGATTATTGTGAGGCAGCAAGCCTGTCTTCATGTTTAACATTTGCGATTTGGCCAGCTCCAGGTATCATCTGAAACACTGCCACGGGCGCCATCTCTGCTGGTACTAAAAAGCCATTTGTTCGCAGAGAAATAAAAAATAATTTTTTTCCCGATTTCTTAATTATGTTAACATTCCATATGCAAATATTAAATTATGGAATAGCTGTATGGAGCATGTCCTTTATTTCAGTTGTATTATAAATTTGAATCTCACATAACTTCATTGACATGAACATAAGAAGAATTGGAAGAAAGCAGAATAAATACTTGAAATTAACGTTACGATGTTAACCACTATGATGTGAACTGATTCACTTCATTTATATTTTTAGCCTCTTTAGTCACCCTCATAATTACTTATCATTTTGCTACTCATCAGGACGACACAGCGTTGCCATGGAGACGCGTCCCTAACCCGAAGCATCGCTTCGCTGCATCTGCGCCATCGCTGGTCATGGGTGCTGATAAATGAATGAATAAATAATTGTGCTGAAATAATGAAGAAAATCGCGAACTTTTACTTACGATTCCACAAAATAGTGAGATACAACATAATTAAAGGCAGCGCAAACCGCCAGTTATAGAAAGGGCAGTAGTTACGAGCTGGTAAACTTAGTATATCCGTCAGATTATCTTCAATTTTTCCGTCACTGGAAAATATAATTCTTGAGTATTTGTTACGAGAAAATGAAACCATAATTTCAAAAAGGCCGTCCCAATTCATTCTACCGCCATGGCCATGTCAGAGTACTTTTTCTCACTCGAGTTCCTAGTCGACGATTTTCTTTTCTTAATATTTCTCGTTGGTACGAAATAATGTAAGGCTGAAAAATCCACAATTTCGTAGAGTTAAATGTTGAGTCTGCATAAACTTCAAGCATAAGTCCATTAAATTACGGAGGTTCCATATTTCAATCAGACAGAATAAATAATTGTCTTGAGTCCGACAGGAACAAACCAAAATACGATCAGAAAGCACGAAATTATTTATATAGTTAAAAAATTATCTGTACTAGTAGAAAAGAAAAACTTACATATATATACATAAATTATTGAAATTTGACATGTATGTACATTGCAGGATTTCATGACGAGCTGACCACACGTGCAGAAGCACAGACAGCTGCTCGGCATGAGACTGCGCAGGATCTGCACGCGCTTCTCGCCGCCAGGTACAGACGAAGATGTACTGACTGCTTTAGTGATTTACGGAGTTAAATAGAACACCATGGTTGAACTAGCATAAAGTTGATCTATGAGAAGCTCATTTTTGCGGATGTAGTTTGTTGTTCGCCTGTGACGTCACTGATCTCAGTGACGTCACAGGCATTAACCAATCACCGCAATGCGATCAAACCAGTCAACCAATCCGTCGTGGGAATGACCGGATTGGTTACGTTTCTTGATCTCAGTGACGTAACAAGGAAGCTAAACTGAAAGACCGAAACCCTAGTGGGTCAACCTTATATATATATATATTGTGCATAACTGGGTGATTATATAACACCACTTAGAAATAATTTAAAAGCAAATAAAATGCAAAGAAATTTTCCATATCTTCCTTGAAGTCGTTTCGGTGACCAGATCATCATAGCTTAGAAATTAAAGAGCCCTAAATAATATGAATAAATTCACAATACAGACATTAAATCTAATCGGAAGAATTTAAATGAAACATGACGGATGTAAGCCTATGTATTACCAATTTCAACCGGAGAAGAACTACAGGTCAAGTTATAACGTAGGGATGTTTATATAAATTTACGGAGATTGTGAAAAATCTTCCAACGCATTTCATTCTTAATTAGAACTTTAACGTAATTATTTTTCTATCTATCAAATCTTATGTTTACTAACATCGAGAAACTGATGCCTGATAAAAGTTTTGAAGTTTTTCCCGAAGTCGAAAGTAGAAAAGTGATTTGTTGTTCATGCCCATGCCTTGCATGACTCTGCTTCTGACACATGTGTAAGCGGTCGAAAACTTATTCCTTGAAATAATTTTCGAACACTAACCTGCATTGTAATTGGTGCATAATTTTTAAAGTGGTTCTTTCTTCAGGCCTAAAGTTATTTTTCAAGATATGTGGGATGCTCTCCAATGTCTGAATATACAGGGTTATTCTAAGAGATGACCTCAATTTAATAAATTAAGGTCATCTCCAGCAACTCTGTTTACGTCCCGCCTCTACCAGCAACTCTGTTTACGTCCAAGCGACTCTGCTTACGTCCCGCCTCTACCAGCAACTCTGTTTACGTCCCGCCTCTACCAGCAACTCTGTTTACGTCCCGCCTCTACCAGCAATTCTGTTTACGTCCCGCCTCTACCAGCAACTCTGTTTACGTCCCGCCTCTACCAGCAATTCTGTTTACGTCCCGCCTCTACCGGCAACTCGGTTGATCTGAAGAACCGTATCACTGCTACGGTGCACCCAGTAACAGAATATATGTTTTCTCGCGTGCGGGACGAGTTTGGCTACCGTTTAGATGTTTGCCGCGCAGCATTAGGTTTCTAGATGAAAAATGGCGAGTTTTTCCGTCCTTTTCTCCTATATGAAATTTCTGGTTTACCTGCGAATTCTGCAAATTATGGTATGAATTTTGCTGGTTATGGTATGAATTTCGGTCCAGAATTCGAATCGACGCTTGGGTTCGGAGTGCCAATTTCTATATATGGTGCCCATAATTTTCAATTGATGTTCGTGTTCAGTTATATCTCTATAAAAATCATATATATCTTTATATTGGTGCACAGTTATTAGTTCTAAAGGCGCATAATGGTGCACATATGAATGCACATGAGTTATTTTGACTTCTGTTAATATTAGTCACATTCATTGTTATTTTTTATGGCGTTTTAGCCGCAGCACTTTCATAAGCATTACACGATTTTGCTCCATAAACGCAATGACGGTTGGTATTTAATTTCGGGAATTTTTTTCAATTTCCATTTATCACTGAAATTCATATTCAATGCCACTTTTTGCCCGTATGCAATCACTTCATTAGGATGGATCCTCGTGAACATTACTAAGGCAGAATATCGTGTTATTTATTCAGAGTAGAGTAAAACGTGACCATAACAAACTGAAGATTTACGATGTTTTCAGGCGTGATATTCGAGAGCAGCGATGGCGCTGCGACGGTCAAAACAGACGTCGATATGTCCCACTTGCGGCCGTGGTGAATATAACATAGTTTATTATGATTATATCGTCTTAAAAAGTCACATTTTCGAGAATAACATATTTATTGAACTATAGATCAAAGACCACCTCAATTATAAAGTATAGCTTATAGGACGTTTATATATTATAATAAAAGAATAAACGTATTATATTATTATAATAGGACGTTTATATATTATAATAATAGAATAAACGTGTTATATTGTTATAATATCAATTATAAAGTATAGTCTATAGGACAATAGGACGCCTATAAATTGTATAAGTAATATGTGATAATATTTTTTGTTTTAAATATTTATATACAAGTAATTTGAGTTCTTTACATGGATAAACTCAGCGCACATAATTATCAAGATTTTACTCTACACGAAGCGTCCCTCTCAGGAGCGAGGTGCAGGCGGAGGTGCAGCGGGTGCAGGCGGCCGTGCCGGGGACTGAGGGACAGACGCAGCGTCTGCAGCGCCTCCTGCAGCAGCTTGCCTGCCGTGCTCCTGCTATACAGCTGCGTCGTCTGTGCGAGTGTCGCCTGCCGCTGCGCCCAACCTGCCTGGACTTCAGCCCCGACCGCGACCTGTGAGTGCCTCTTCTGTAGAATAGAATAGAAGTGTTGGCGCTGAAGAAATAGGCCCATGGCCTGTTGCCGATTCTTGAACTTTTCGTGACTTGATTCACAAGGGATCCGGCCTTTGGAACCCGATCTTTCCATAAATATTAAATGCGCATAATGGTGCACATTTATTAGTTATTAAATGCGCATAATGGTGCACATTTATTAGTTATTAAATGCGCATAATGGTGTACAATGGCGTTTGATGTGCAGTGTGGCGTGTGGCTGCTACGACAGGACGGCGCGCGTGTTCTGCGCCGCCACCGGCACCGCCGTAGCCACACTACGCGGCCACCACGACCTCATCAGCGACCTCACCTTCCTCGGGTACACGGCCTCCATTGACGCTCGTACTCTGCAGGGACAATCAATTTCATGCTAACTGTTATTCATGCAATAGTTACACAATCACGGGTTTGAAAGCCGGGTATTTTACTACCTTCACTGTGACCTGTGAAACTTCAATCTTGAACCGAAAACGGATATGGACAGGTGCTATTGTTTTTCTACTAAGTGCCCCAAAAACATGTCTATAGTCGATATTTCAACGGGTATTTCAACACATTTAATATAAATTAAGCAAGCTTGAGTCTGTACTCTCGGATTTTTCCACGCTCATGTTTCATGTTTCAGCCTATCAGTCTTATTCGTCTAATTTGATCAAAATGTTACGATCATCAAAATGGGCGATAAGTGCACAAACATCGCAGAAATCACCATTAGCATTATAATTATTGTGATTAATGCCACCGCCACAAACGATTAATTTGTACATGATCGTCGTGCTGTTGGTGTTGATATCTTTTAATTTTGCTATCTGTGACGTCACTCAGACCCCGCGTCGTAACCGCGTCGCTAGACGGGGACGTGAGGGTCTGGACAGGCCCCTGGCAGGACACCAGCCCCGCAGGTCAGTCCACCTGCACCCGCTGCTCTCACCGGCTGTTTCCTGAAATGGAAGCCATTTCATGTATAGCTTCTGTCATGGCATTTTTGGATAGTGAATAAATCAAATTGTGATAATAATGACAGATAACTGAAACGCTCAAATTGATAACAAAACGCCTAGTCAGGTCGGAATAACTCAAACGCCTAAATTGATAACAAAACGCCTAGCCTATTCGCAGTAACTCAAACGCCTAAATTTACTAATATTCAAATTGGTGGCAAAAGTGCGGAAACCGCACTAACAATTACTCGATAAACTTCAATGCTGCATGCCGAGAATAAATCGAATGCCCGAGTTAGTCAAACCTAACAGCAATCCAGCATTTATACCAATATGGCATTAGTTTGTAATGTTTTCATACAGCCAGTTCATCTACACGTTCTCAGCTACAAATACATGGGAGTTGAGATCAAGTTCTTTCCATCACTTCCTTATTAATGTATAAAGTATTTAATTTGTACATATAATGGGTCAGAATTATGGTCTGACCAGGAATACTTCGGAGGAGAACGGGAGCTTAGAGTCGTGAACCACCATAAACAAAGCATCATCTCGTGATAAGCTCCGGTCCGTGTTTTCACTCAGAAACCAAAATCGTTGTCTGAATGCTCGTATATCTTGTAAATTTATGAGAAATCCCGTACCAAAGTTTCTTACGTGCTGTTGAATAAATGAATTTTTATTTACAATTTTTTTCACCAGCTGATGATATGTTGTTTTTTGGAGTGCGTAATATAAGTGTAGCTATTTCATATAGTGATATTTACGACTTTCCATTATTCAATAAGTCATCCATGCCGTAAAGTTATCAAACATTCTCGTGGACCAGCCTAATCACTTTGAGGATAATTAATGCTAGAGCTACTGGATAACTTGGTGCATGTCAGCCTTCCCTCTTCAGTAAGTGTCAACAACCTTCATGGACTCGTGCAATATGATTGTGAAGATAATATTTTTGCGTACTAAATGATTTACACCTGTACCAACATGAATAGCTCTTATATTATATTATATACCATGCGACAACATTTCTTCTCGCTTCGAGTCACCGACATGTGGAACAGCCTCTCTGATAGCATCGTTGACGCTCCGAGTATGAACATCTTCAAAAACAGACTAGACGAAGCTATGCGGGAGCATATGTTCAGTCTTAAAATGTCTAGCAAATCACGGACGAGGCAATAAGTCCAGCAGCAGCAGCTATCTCAATCAACCGTCAGTTATGGAAAGATCGGGTTCCAAAGGCCGGATCCCTTGTGAATCAAGTCACGAAAAGTTCAAGAATCGGCAACAGGCCATGGGCCTATTTCTTCAGTGCCAACACTTCCATTCTATTCTATATTCTGTTGGGTCCCCAGTATTGATTCACGTATCTCTCACATAAGGCAAATTGCCTGGAATGTTTTAATAATCCGGCGCCAGATCATATATGTATATCATTCTCATGTGGCATGTGATGGTGTGCAGTGGAGTGCGTTGTGGTGTTGAAGCATCACACGACTGCCGTGACGGCCCTCACAGTCCTAACTGATGGGCAGGTCGTGTCGGGCAGTCTCGACGGCTCGGCCGTATGCTGGGACGTTCAATACGGTGGGTTGCCCTGTCCCGTATGCGGGTAAAAGGGATCATGTAGCTGATGCGGCGACATGCTACGTGCTTAGTTGTTTGTTAAGAATGGGAGAGTCCTGTGGTGACAATTACCCAACTTAATAAAAACTTTATCTGTAAGCCCAGTCAAGTTTCCTTTTCACAACTGATTTATAAAAATTATCATTACAAAACAATTTCGAGCAGTTCATCAAAATAATACGATGTTTGAATTCACTCGAGAGTTAAAAGTAATTAGCGAAATAGATTAACTTCTGAAATTGTGTTGGAAGCTTTACTAAATTCACGGTCAACCATTGTTCTTATCGGACCTTCCTTTTCATAACAGAAACGTTGACTGAAAAATTCTTTGTTTCACCGAGATTCATGTGAACTGATCAGGTGAGGCGTTAGGTGTGCTGAGCGGTCACTCAGAAGCAGTGGTGGCGGTGGCTCCTCAACACGACGCCTCTGTCATGACCGCCTCCTTCGACGGCACAGTTCGCGTCTGGGACACCAGGACGTATTGGTTAGCAGCAACCATCGTATATATTGATACTAATAAATAATCTAGTAGCAATAATATGCACTCTGAGCATTTATATAGGTATTATTGTTTTAATTTTATTATTTATATTGTTTACAGTATTAATTCAGACAAAATATATCCTGCCAGCATGTCGTAACTATTCAAATGAAATACATTCGCTAGTGGTGCTCACCGAATTTATTTTAAGGAAAATGGATAACAGGTATCGGGGCTCTTGATCAAGAATATCCATATCTTCTCTAACGAGCCAGCAACCAATGACGAACTAACAGCGTTGCGTTAAAAAAATGAAATTGTATTCATGAATGTATTCAAGTATAGGTTGGCGATCTACTGTCGTACAGTATACTGGCGGCCAAAGGATTTTATAGTATCGTAAAGGCGCTACTGGCTACGGAAGGGCTCGGTATCCCTTCACTAGAGGCCATTAGCACGACAACTAGTCGTAGTTAATACCTGAATGTTGTACTGGCTGTCAATATACTGTCCGATGAACAAGTACCTTAACTAGTAAACAAGAAACTTTTACTGCAATATTAAGCGATCAATGCACTCATCGAACTCAACGGAGGGGCTTTGAGATGTGACAAATTAATTGCTGCTTGGTGACGAGTAGGTTCTGAGTAAACAAACTTTCAGAGATGATTATGAGGGATTTGTTGCTCATTTACTGTCATTATTCTAACGACGCTTGGGAGCGATTAGAGCTTCACCTTCACGTCATCGTACCCCCTTCCTTTTAATTGCGTTCTTCTATATTACTTTATGTAAGCGCGTCAAAGAATTGTGCCACTGTTGATATTTTATATGGTTGTCAAAATTCTACTTTTTGGCATAGTTGTACCGGCACCACAGTTTTAGATCCCTACAACGCATGTTTTATTAGCACCGATTTCAAATATTTCCGCGGCTATCCTCATATTGCAACTTAAGACGCAACTCACGTGTGCATGCACTCACGTTGAAACTATAAATGTGACCTACGGATGACTGCAGTTGCAGTCATGTGGTTGGCGGGGGCGACTACAGCCTCAACGCCGCGCGCGTCTGTCCCGCCAGCGCCGAGCTCGTGGCGACGGCGGCCACGGACGCGACGGCGCGCGTGTGGGACTTGCGGCGCCTGCCACATGCCGTGCTGAGCGTCGCCCACCAGACCGAGGTACAGTCACCCTACCTCACACCACCAGACCGAGGTACAGTCACCCTACCTCACACCACCAGACTGAGGTACAGTCACCCTACCTCACACCACCAGACCAAGGTACAGTCACCCTACCTCACACCACCAGACCAAGGTACAGTCACCCTACCTCACACCACCAGACCGAGGTACAGTCACCCTACCTCACACCACCAGACCAAGGTACAGTCACCCTACCTCACACCACCAGACCGAGGTACAGTCACTCTACCTGCAGTGACAGACACACCACCGGACCGAGGTACAGTTACCCCATCAATAAAGACCCTGTGACCTTGGATGAGCTGCCTTGAAACTCCATCGAGCGAAAACTAGGCTGGGTGGAGTTTGATAGAAGCTAGGGAGCTTTTGAAAGCTTAAACATTTGAACACTAGCATCGTAAGACAAGCCAAAAGCTTCTCTTTACCTGCCTTAAATAAGACATCAACACCAGCCTTTTACGTCGAGCCAAAGGCTTCTCTTTATTGGCTCTGAAACAGCGATATGAACACCAGCTTCTTACGACGAGCTTAATTCTTCTCTTTAATGGCCCGAAAACAGCGATTTGAAAACCAGCTTCTTAATACGAGCCAAAGACTCACTTTAATGGCCCTGAAACGGCGATATGAAAACCAGCTTCTTATGACGAGCCAAGGGCTTGAGTTACCTGCCTGAAAACAGCGACAGCGCAGCGTTTGCAGCGCCCTTGTAAAGTCTTTAGCACATCCAGATAAACTGTTAAGCAGCCGTTGGCTCAGGGAACGGTAGCGCGGTTCGCTCTAAAGATCACTGAACAGGCGCTCCGTGCACAAACTTTCCGAGCAAAACAGAAGCATAATAACACTTACATGTTGACATCATGCAAGCATTTTTGGACAAATAAGTCGGTAGAATCTGTTACCAGGAACTGTGTGATGGGTGAAAGTATGAGGTACGCACCATATACGCCAGTCGCACAACATAATATTATTCATTCGTATGACAATATTATAAATTACAAAAATGGGTGATGAATGTTAGCGTTTAGCTTGCTTTCATTGTTCATAAAGAGTATGAGATGAATATTGCTTGATAGTTTCATGGTGTTTAGGCATAGATAGTATAAAATAATTGTAAATACCGGTACTCGAAATACTTGTGTAATACCAACGGCCAGATTAACTGCAAAACTACAGACGTAAATTAATTATTATATTTTTCATTTGATAACTCGGATAAGATCCTAGCAACATTCTCCAAGTCAAAATGGACGTAAATGTATAAGTGAATTGAATTTTGTTTTGGAATTCTTGAGTCCGAGTTATTGTATTGTTATTGTAATTCTTAAGTCTTAAGTCCGAGTTTTATGAGCGTTGTCACAAAGCCGGAACGTAACGTTCGAGTTCGCCCACGTCAAACAATGACTGCATGACGACACAAGTTATGCATTTATTGTCATATTATGACGCTCATCTCAGCGCTAAGTGGCAGCACACACTGCATGTATTGTTCTTTGGTTAGCAGCCAAGTGCATTGGTGTTTGTGTTTGAGGTGCTGGACGTGGCGTGGGACGGCAGCGGGCGGCGTCTAGCGTCCGGCAGCGTGGACGGCGCCGTGGTCGTCACGTTGGCCGCCGACGGCGGCGTCCCTGTAGCGGCGCTCAGCGCACACATCGACCAGTGCAATGGCGTAACGCCTTCATTTAGTTTTAATGGCTATATTTAGTTTTAATTCTTGACATGATGAGGTTGATGATGATTAGAAACCGAACTTGAGAAGTAATTTTATTCTCTTACATTTTTCAAGGTTGGGTTCTGCAAGATCGACGACCAGGTGCTGATGACGTGCACGCTCTGGGGGCTGCCCACGGGGCGCCTGCTGCAGGTGAGGGCGCCGCTCTGGGGCTCCCCACGGGCCGCCTGCTGCAGGTGAGGGCGCCGCTCTGGGGGCTGCCCACGGGCCGCCTGCTGCAGGTGAGGGCGCCGCTCTGGGGGCTGCCCACGGGCCGCCTGCTGCAGGTGAGGGCGCCGCTCTGGGGGCTCCCCACGGGGCGCCTGCTGCAGGTGAGGGCGCCGCTGGTATCCGTCTTGCTGACCGATCTCCTACATTCACTTTTTGGAACATATAAGTTAAATGATTCCTTAGAACACAGGTCAACTCGTGAGTCGCATTGATGGGGATGTTCTCGACGATGAATGATTCCAAATATGGCTCAAGCTCAAGCACGTGATCGTCCTTCTCATGACACCTAATAAATTTCAGCAAAAGAAGTGTTTCAAGCAAAAATGTTTGCTCACGAATTATTATAATTTACAAGTTGAATTCGGATAAATGCAGCCAATAATACCGAGAACCAAGATAATCTTACGCATAAACGTGTTCTCATGCTTGCATTCAACAGTGATCATACAAATCACAGTTCTAAAAGACATAACAGAATAAATGGCGTGATTATCCAACGTGCAGCATTGCGTTTCAGAAAACATTTTTGAATGAGCATGACAAATAATCGCCTAAACGAATAGCGGAATATCGATCAATTTTTTTTTTTTTTGTGGCGTCGGACTCAACGCACGCTCGACCGGCTTAGGTGGCAGGCGTGGAAGGGTGGTCGGAAAAATAATGGGAGGGGGCGAAAAGTGGAAAAAGAAGCTGCAAATGATGGGCCATATGCGGCCTCTTTAAGGAATAGAAAATATTAGTAAAAAGGATGGGGGATGACCAGAATCTACAGACCCCAAAAGAGAAGGTTAAGGATCAATTGCAGCCGACGGGTGAGACTCATCCGGTTGGCCGCGCTATTACTCTCGTCAAAGACCCGAGTCAGCACTATCAAAAATAGTCGAGAATTCGTAACTTTTCCAGTCAAGCACTAGCCGGTTTTCTGCACAGAAAGCGGTCTCCTTCACTGCACTGAAATTAAACTCACAAATCACAGTCACAAAATCAGCCGCTACGGGTACTTAAGCGAGTTATGATAGGACAGCCCTCAGGTGGTGGTCCAGGTTGGGGGCACCATGCAGCTGGAGAGGTCCGGGGCTTAGGAGGCTTCAGCACACACGGCGACCAGGCCACCATGCTTACTATTGAACGAGGCTCTCGACACGTCAAGGTTATTTTGAGAGAAGTTAAAACTAAACAAATGAACGTTATCTATTTCTGAGGTACACTCACCCAACTTAACATCAAGTTTTCAAACGGACCTCATCAGCTTTCATCACTCAGCATGAGATTTTCATTTGACCTGTGTTTAACGTTGAATGCCTTAATCACATCGCCTAGAAATAATCGACGACTAGGAAATGACGAAATGCATTAGTTAACGAAATAAATATTTCGTTAACCAATGAATGTTTTCTGTTTATTTGGACGAACATACTCGTCAAAATAAGTTACTTTTATTCTCTTCCTCAGCGAGAAGAATTCGAGGGAGCTGTGGACATGCTCGTGGAGAGCCCCGACGGGAGTGTGGTGGCGGCTGGCGTGGCTGCAGACCAACCCACTATCTGTCTTCTTAAAGCATCAAATAAAGTGTCTTAAAGGTTTAGCGATTTTTAGATTGATTTATTATGCTTTATTATGAAGGGGCGGCAGGTGGCGCAGCAAACTTCATTACAGTCCGCGATGCATGTGCGTGGGGCTAACAGGACATTACTTCGAATATTCTGATATTTGCAATTAGCTACCGATGATGGTTTACTGGGTAATCGTAGAATAAAAACCAGAGCAAAAACCAACACATCGATTATAATTTAATTTTTTTTCATTCGTGGAGAAATCTAATATGCACCACAGCTAACGTTACTAAAGCCAATGATCTTGAGAACGCTGAAAAGTTTAAAGCGGGCTTCATTTGCTAATGCCCAATTTCACATATCAGGGCATTGCTAGACTTTTTTTGAACGAAAGATAATTGATTAAACTCCGAATGTATTAGGACTACTATTGAAACTAGATTACCTGTTGTCATTGAATTTTTTTTTTAAATACCTCAGAAATCCATCAGAATTGAGCTACTTCGTACAACAATTTGTATTAGAGTGCGCGTCGCAAGACTTACTTTGTACTTGACCAACGAAACGGTTAGGATTAGGTATTGTTTAGCCTAATATAGAGTAAATAAATCGTCTGCAAAAATGTACAGGCCTTTAAGATATGTTACATTAAAAATGAAAATAACAGGACTGACGCGCTCAATATCGACGACTATACACATGCGACTTGGTAGACACGCAAGCTGAATGGATCAAGTTGCGCACACGAGATGAAATTCACAACACGAGTTGCAATTCAATCATTATTGTTTGATATCGATAATAGTTTGCTATCGTTTCATATTTTGTCTACATTTATTCCGAACCAAGTAATCAAATAAATTATGAAAAATAACTTCATATATAAAGTGTGTACTTATTTCTAGCCGAACAAATAATTTAGAAAAATATTTTCTGCCCGTCAATGGAAAAAAAATGAGTAAAAATGACTCGAGGGTTGTCTCTGGATCTTTCTTATCCGGCTGAATACTAATAACGGCGGCAATCACGTGTCATAAAAAGAACATATCCTAGTTTTATGTCACCCGACAGCTGCCACATTGGATGCATATAGGTTTAACGGGCACTCTCGCCGCGGTGGTCTTGGGTTACGGCGTTTCGCTTCGGGTTGGTGGAGGCCTTTGGTGTTAATAAGTCGCTTCTCCAAGAGGGATTTCTGTCGGACCATGTGAGGCAAGCTACGAAGATCCTTTTTCTTTATTAATCGTTTCAGTCATGAAAGTCAAGCAATGTTCACTTTGGATCAGCAAAGCGAATTGATACATATTTCAGACTCCTCCTAAAAATTTTGCGTGCCGATGTGGTTTCAAACGGATCACTCTACCTCGGTGTGCCATGAAGCAGACTCGAGGCAACGAATTAAACAACTCCAGCTTACGAGCAACTTATGATTACAGGAATAGATCAGGCATATCTTAGTTCTTTATATCTTCCACATCTGCGTGCAGTCACACATCAGCCGTAGAGCTTTTATAACACACATGGAGTCATGAGGTTGGAGTAATGAATGTTTACTTAAGAATAACGCCAGAAAACTTCGTCCATGTGGCTTTGCCATTCATCGCAAACCATTCACTTTGATGGGCAAATTTGGATGACGTTTGTTCCATTTGTTGCCTTAGAAAATTGCAATATATCGCTTCAAAATTTTCATCCAATTCGAAACCCAATAATATTTCCTTGATATAAAACCACAAACTGAGAAAAGATTGTAAATCCATATGTTTAGATAACTCACATAATAAGATAGGCAAGTAAATACTATTCAATTGAGTACCGTTTATTTTTGCAGATATTCCAGAGCAGAGCCCCCTTTTCGTCTTTCCAGGCGCACCTACGGAAAAATTAGAGATCATTAATAATAAATAGATTGCATGATATTTCACATGATGGTTCATGTGAAATATATTAAAGCTACACGTCTAATATATAATTCAAACCACGTCTGGAACAAAACTTGAATCAGGACAATGGATAGCCAACAAATCTTGTTGAGAAATGAGATGAATACATATAATGAACGCATTATAAGGAAATCTAGCAAGAGGAAATCAGCATAAAAATGCCACAGGATATCGATGATATAGTTAATTGAGACAAAATAAACAAACATAATTTACTGCAAATGAGCATGAAAGCAACCCACAAACTGCGTAGATATTAGTTGAGACCTGAGAAAACTGAGGTAAATTCCTGAGGATCAAAATTGAATTTATATAGTGATCCATTTCTCCCTGAACCAATAATGGCACCTGCCCTACTAGCTATAGATAATAGCACGTCAATTCCTCAGAGCTCACTGGCAACAGCGGCCTTAGCGAACAGTGATAGTAAATAATAAACCTCAAGATTAGAGACGTTGACGTAGCCTTACATCTTGACGAAGCGACTACATGAAGCCTGGCACGTAAGTTCCCTTGTTTTTCAAGGCCTTCATTTTCTTGGCGAGTTTGTCGACGCGGCGCGTGCGCAGGTTTTGGAGGCGCTTGACGGTCTTCTGGTGCTTTGCCTGCTTCTGGCGCTTCAGGACTTCTTCTAGCTTCTTGCCCTTGTTGCGCTTGTGCTTGTCAAGGCGTTTGATGTCGCGAGACAGAGACGCTGCACTCTCCACCTGCACGCAAAAAAAAGGTTCACATTTGTCCGTTTGTACATAGATTTAATCGTGAATCACAGGGCCAAAATTATGGAGGTAATACGAAAAGACTACCTCCCCATATCTATACGGAGCGCTTAGCGATGGGGAAATCACTGGCAATTAACATTTTGAGGGAAAGCTGTTAGGTTGAAAAATTCAATTGTGTGTGATGAGAATTAAAAATGGTTTCAGAATTACGTTAAAAAATCTGAATGTATTCCAAATTATTGATAGAATTAGAAATATAGGCCACGCTACAGTTCTGTTCTGAAGACAGTTGTGATCAACTAGGAATGAATGCAACCTTCTCTCCGATGACTTTCTTCTCGGCCTCTGACCAGCCTTCCTTGTTGCGGATTTCATGGACGAGTTTATCTTCATTGACTTGGTGCAGCTCCGTCAACTGTAACATTCGAGGAAGAAAACGTTAAAGAATCATGCTTAAATATGAAGAAATGTGAATTTTTGAGATGCAGTGCAGCTTTTTCCCAGACATGATAATACCATCCAGAAGCAAGATAATTGCTCTCATAATATACATTAGTTTAAATAAATGCAAGAGAAAAAAAAAACAATGCACGAACAATAAATTTCTCTACATTGACATGAGCTGGCACTGGAGTTCAGTTGAGGATAAAATGAAACATTTTTCCTACTTGCGAATTCATCTCTGGCCACTAACCAGCTTTTTCTTCTTGGTTTCTTCAGCGAGCTTGGCTCTGAGTTCTTCTAAAGTCTTTCTCTTGGTCCTGACAGGAGCTCTGACGGCGCCAGGCAGATTGAACACATATTCTGCCTCGGGAGAGGATGAGTTGGTTTGTTCAGGGGCAGTTCGTCCCACAGGATGGCCGCTATCTCCGCCAGAGGAAACCGATGGCTGAGTGTCTTCTTTCTTAGCAACATCAGGCAGGATGAGCTTCTTCAGTACCTCAGCTCGTTCTTTGTCAAATGAATTCACTGTCGATGAAAAGTTAAGATTGTATTTTCATAGAACAAACAGACAAGGAAAAAGCTACGGCTGAATATGTTGGCAACAGTCATTAAAAATGACACCACAATGTGCTTCAAAATAACTAATATTGTTCGGAACTGAAGGTTCCAACAAACTGATATAAATTTGCAGGAACATCCCGACTGAAAATATATGCATCAAGAAAGAACTTTTACCAGCTACGACTGAACAGGTTTTAGTATTTTAATTTATTAAATATAGGTAATTCATAGAGTTGATGAGTTTATAAGCAGCAAGAATAGCAATATAATTAATTGTTCCAAGTGACTCCAAAAAATGGTTCCGAGTGACAAAATGATCTTAGAATTAGGTTGCTCTGTGCAGAAAGTTGTACATGAAAATGAGGTGCACGTGTCAAAGGCATCACAGCGAGCAGATGAAATTAACCACAATATCAATTATTATTATTTCTTAAGATCCCTTCACTCGCTTATTCTTCTTGCTCAATGAATGCAATTTCGTCACTATTGCAATATCTTGACCAAAATCTTTGGCTAACTTCAGAAGTTGATATGAAAATTTCCCCCGACAAGCCACCATCTACCAAACTCACAGTAGCTACGATATGTAAACATTTCTAGAGCTGCACTCACAGGCAGTTTCCACTAATTTCATCTTCTTATTTTGCCGCTTCTCTGCTATGCTCTCCATGGCCTTCTTTCTTCTGGTGACTTCCTTAGCCCTGAGTCGCGCTTCTCGTTGCTCCTCTCGCTCCTTGATCTTTTGCAGCAGCGCCACGCGGTCTTTCTTTGGCTCTGTTGAAGAAGATGAACATGACTTATATTGATATGACTTCTGTACTATATATGCATATTATATATGTTTGGTTAAAAGTTATGCTAGTTTTATGAAGAACTTTCATTTCTCAAGCTTTCTGATAAAAGGTACAATAATGGGGTCAACAAGTCTTAAAATTTGTCCAAATGGAAGGTTAAGTAAATCTTTCATCAGAAATCTCGAGAAATTAAACTCAAAACATGTCTAAATGAAGGGCTTTACCCAAAACAAACAAATATATTATAAAGCATAGAAGATATAACTGGCAAGGTTTTGGTAGGCAGGACTTGCCCGCACGATGCTTATGCTGTCTGATCCGTTAATGAATAAAATTGAAGATACAGGAGATGACAACCAGAGCAACTTGAGTGCTTTGAAGAGGTTTCCCAGAGTCATTATAACTTCAAAAGCAAACTATAAAATAAAACAAAGAATTCTCAAAATCAATTGATGCTGAGAATACAGCTGATGTCATGCATGAGATCTTGATATCAAATTAATTAGCATCCCATAATCATGTAAGTTAGCCTACATCAGAAAATTGTAAGAAATATCGATTATACGTATGTAGTTCCTTCACTCCACCATTCAAATAGACAGTGTTTGTTAAGTAAATACATCAGCAAAATAGGAAATTATCAAGTCCATATCGGCCTGCAGGTTGCCCCCATAAAAACATAAAAACACAGGATACGTTACATATTCATTATACAATGATTTGAATGTATGTGGCTTTTACATTTTGAAAATTTTGTCTTTAAATTAAATTAATAAAAAAAACTACAGCACAGGTTGGGATTTTAAATAATTATCTGTGTTTAATGAACCGTAAAACACGTTTTCATGTTTCATTTTTATTCTTGGATCCTATCAAATATTTACTATGCATGTGAATAATATTGGAATGAGAGTCTATAGAAAGTGAGTGGACCATGGTTTTTAATGTCTGCTATCACATTTTGCAATGAGCTTGCAGGAAAAAGAGAAAACTTAGAAACTGTGTCTACCCAAATTTGTCCGGTGATCTTCTATCACCACCTAGGTTATCATACGTCACAAGCTTATAGCTTGTTCTGTACCCACATGGTAGTCACGCTCTGTGACGTCATCCCTGTTAAGAACTAGGTATATATAGCCCGGTCAGTGCACCGCTCGTCAGTTGTAGCGGTACTGCCTAGCCGTCATCATTTTATTCCGCTCCTCCGGCACATACTTGCTGTACCTGTCAATCCCCGTTCTTCTGTACTCACCAAGCCAGTTTATTATTATAATAGAACTAGGGTTACCTACCGTGCGTTTCACTTGTCCTGCCTTAGTCGTACTTGGAACAATGAAGTACCCTGACTCTCAGTTACAGATCCATCAGGTGGTCATAGAAACCGACCATCTGACAAATTGAATATTGGAGAAGAATGAAATCAAGTGAAATAAGGCACTAACTGATCCCCTCCTCAGGCTTGATGGCGTCGTGTCGTGACTCGCACATCAGCAGAGCAGCTTTAAGACTGTACTCGGTGTCCATACGGCCCGGTAACACGCGCTCTAGAACCAACTCTCCAGAACGCAGGTCTCCTTTCACATCAGCCTTCTTCTTGCTTTCTGCAAATTGATGCATACATATAAATAATGTACATGAAATTAAAGCAAGAACTACTAAAATAGGACCTTTATTGAGACAAGATAGTGGAAACTTGCCTTTATCAGTGATATGACTACAGACTACATAAAAAAATTTTCAGACTACTAGAAAGAGACAGAATTTTTCAATCACAAACTTCCAGTCAGTTTAAAAGAGAGCATATAATTATAACTAACCTTCAGCAGAGAGCAGACCATATTTCTCTATCAGCTTCAACCGTTGCTTCTCAGTAGCAGCATCTGTCAATAGATTATGAGGCTATAAAATTACTCAGCTTTAATAATAAAAAACCAAGAACATTAAAATTCTTCTGGAACAAATCAATGCTTATGTTAATTGGCATTGAATTTTACGTATAATAGAAAAACCAAATAGAAGAAATCACACATTTCCAAAACCTTTCTTATTTTGTTTGCATGCATGATTGAAACATGTCAATGGCTTTGTTATAGGAGATAGTATTGTTGATTAGATATTAATCCTATTGTTTATATAGTACAGTATTGTTTATATTTATAAAATAGTGTTTATATAGTAGGTATAGGTAGAATTATTTATATAGTGTAGTATTGTTTATATAGTATCAAATTTGAAAATAAGAGGATGCAGAGATAGAATAAATTTTGCAGGCACTTACTAGCCAACTGTCGCTTCTTTTCAGCCAGAGGAACATATTCAGTAGGACAAGACGGAGTTGTGATCACTGGAAAAAATCCCAAAACTCTACACCACAGAGCCTGAGGGAACAGAAAATTTCTGTGTTAATTCCAATGATAAAATTTCAACTGAAAATATAAAGCTATAAAAGTGGGTAAAAACTGTAAAGATCTCTCAGCTGTATCACTGAAATATTTAATTTTTATTGGATGGTGAGAATAAGGAAGGTAATTTGTGATGAATTATATATAATTAGCAACTTAAATTAAAGAAGCATTTTATCAATTAAAAATGCCATAAAAAATATTAAATATCATAAGGTGTGAAGCTAATGTTTTCAAAAGATGAATTTCCTCCAATAAATATGTACTTTCAGCAGCATAATTAAATAATTAGGTTAGCTTTGAACTTATCAGATTAAATATGAGGTTATGATTCTTATTCATATCATTATGAGATGAAGAAAGGAACATTCTCAACAAGGGAAACTTTTTATTATCACTAATTCCATTGTGTAGCAAGAAAAATATATGAATAAACTTTATGTTTAAAATGAAGCAAACATCACAGATACCGTACAATTTAATCCAAACCAACAACAATGATGAAATTAACTAAGAGTGTAGATTTATTTTACTCACCATAACTTCATTTCTCTTGCTCTCGTCCCATTTGCAAGGCTTTTCAACAATGGGAAGCATGGGAAAGTCATTAAAAATTTCCACATCCTCAGATGAAAATGCATCAATGTTGCCAATAGAATTAAGCTGTGACTGCTTTTCTTGCTCAGCCTTCCTTGCAATAGCCTGGCGCTTACGAACAGCTCTTGTCTTCAATCGCTGTTTAATAATATTTTTAGGATTGCCACCTATGTGGGGTCCTGCACCACTTTTGGGTAAAATTGCCATTTCTGAGGATGTTCTGAAAAATTGTCATTAGCATATTATCATCTCCAGTCATAGAACTATTCAAGACTATAAGATCAAAATTAGGATTAAAAAATTGTAAATGTTCATAAGTAATCGTATTTCCAATATCTATGAAGAATCAGTGCAGTGAGTCAACACTAATGTAAAATTTTACAAATAAACTGATGAAATTAAACCTTGATTATGTGAATGCTCTAAACAAATTAACAAAGACAATATTATTGAAAATAGTTTCTAATTATTAGATAGCAGAAAAACTTGGCAAAGTGCAAACAGGGACTGAAACTACTAAAGTAAACTCCAGATATGAATATTATCAAAATTTAACTGGGCGCTTAACACTTCATATGCAGACTAGAGTCAAATTGCAAGTGACACTGGAGTAAAAAAAATGTAGCATGACATTTTTCATCACTTAGGATTACAAGTTAAATTTTTGATAATCTTCTATTACAAATGCAGTAAAATCTTGAACCAGTAGTACATAGCTTACTGTCCAATGCTGGAAGTGAGAAGAAAGAAGAATTAATGTTGTTGGTGGGTCTAAAATGTCTTGTGCCACAGGTGAGATAAACCTGTTACCTGCTTGATTGACTAAATGGCAACAACCCTACTCTGAATGAAGGATAATGTAAGACTGGTTCAAATAAATAACGACTATTGAAAGAAAATATGAGACAGAAAAATAATTCATACACAAGAATTCAGTTTGTGATGGTTAAATTGATTTGGAGAATGTAGTGAAGATGTGCTAGTTAGTTGCATATATGAAGCATGGCCAGGTGGAGATGGACAGGTGGAGATGGACAGGTGGAGATGGACAGGTGGAGATGGACAGGTGGAGATGGACAGGTGGAGATGGAAAGGTGGAGATGGAAAGGTGGAGATAGACAGGTGGAGATGGACAGGTGGAGATGGACAGGTGGAGATGGACAGGTGGAGATGGGCAGGTGGAGATGGACAGGTGGAGATGGACAGGTGGAGATGGACAGGTGGAGATCAGTGGTTCCCAAAGTGGGCGATATCACCCCCCTAGGGGTGGGGGAAAGATTTTGGGGGGCGGTAAGGAAGGAGAGGGCGGTAGGGGGCGATGGGGGGGGCAGTAGTACGAAGTCAATGTCAGAAGTTCGAACGTTTGTTTGATGATTTGTACACAACACGTGCAGCACATGACTCCCAGCAATGGTTTTTTCACCCAGATCTGTTTTTTCAACCTCTCCTGGGCTTACGTCCGGAAAAATTAACGGCCGGTCTTGCGGACAATTTCCAAATTCAATGTTCAAGGAATATCTCTCAAACTAATGAATTTAAATGAACTTAACTCAATGAAACTTGGTACACATATTCATTAGGACCTAATGATAATGTTTTACTCGTGAAAATTGGTTGAATTTTGCCATCGTTTGTTTTTGCCATAGTTATATATTTTTGCCAAAATTCAGTGATCAAGTAATTTCTTCCAAACTACTGAACATATTCGAACGAAATTTTGAATTTACAGTCCTAAATACCAAACGGTAATGTTTATCTTGTGAACATTTTTTTGGTTGTGCCTTCGTTCGTGAGCCTCTTTCTTCATTTCACTTTTATTCGTGATTTAAACAGCAATATATCGTGCATGCTTTTAAATTCGCAGTAGTCGAGAAATTTTTTTCAAACTACTGAACAGATTTCAACGAAACTTAGTATTTAAATACCTAACCTCAGCAACGGTGATGTTTACAATTTTTTCGTTTTACCTTTGTTTCCAAGTTATACGGCTATACGTATAAGGCTCTTGATTAAATCGGCCTGGTAGAAAAGCCGGTCATTCCTCCTATATTGGTATAACTCGAGAACAAAAGCAAAATAAAAAAATTGTCACGAGATAAACATCACCATTGAGAGGTTAGGTATTTATATACGTACAAAGTTTTGTTGAAATCTGTTCTGTAGTTTAGAAGAAATTTCTTGATCGCCGCGAATTTAAGTGACAAATTACCCGGCGATACGGGCCGAATGTAAGGAAGTGTGAAATCAAGAATGATGATGAAATGAAAAAAAAACTTGCGAATGAAAGTAAAATCGAAAAAAATTTATAAGATAAAAAATCACAGTATGGTAGTTAGGAATGTATATATAAAATTTTGTTCAAATATGTTCAATAGTTTGGAAGAAATTCTTTGATCACTGCAAATTTTGGCCTGTTTCGCAATATACGCGTTACTCACGAATGAAGGTGAAATTAAAAAAAATTTACAAGCTAAACATCACCGTTAGGTTCTGATGAATACGTGTTCCAAGTTTCATAGAGCTGCATTCATTAGTTTGGGAGATATCACTTGATAATTGAATTTGGAGATTGGTCATGAGACTGACGAGTCCGGCCGTAAATTCGCCTGAGATGTCCTAGGTTTCTAGTGCTGAAACAGTTAAAACAGCTGCAAAACATATTGGTTCACTAAATGGGGCTCTATTTTTGAAATATACATTTGTGTTTAACCTTTATTTTATCTTTTAGAATTGCAGTGTACTAAATTTCAAGAAAGAGGCATATGTTTTTATTTGTGTCTGTAGGGGAGAGGGGGGGGGGCGTTAGAAATTCTCTAGGGAGCCAAAGGGGGGCACCAGCCTGAAAAAGTTAGGGAACCACTGGTGTAGATGGACCAGCTACCAAGCACAGGGTGCGTACTGGTATTTAGAAAAAAATTCATGCCTTTTCCATGACTCTATGACCATCAATATAATTTTCCAAGACTCATATACAACAGGTTTAGCATGACTGGAAGACTAACTGTGCATATTCTATCATCTCCTAGAGTTGATAAATAGCAAACGTGTAAATGCATAGAGCAGGCACAGAGGAACAAAAATGACACCTATCTGAAAATCAAGCCCACACTGGTATTATTAAAAATTCAATAGTGTCAAATCACATCAAATAGAGTAATGCACACAAGATTGTACATGATAATGTCAATAAAGTTCAGAACACTCTTCAACACCACTTGGCAATCTTAGCATCAACAAGCAAAGCGAGACAGTTCTTCAACTGTGTCTTGTTGGCTTCCTTACAGTCCTTCTTGATGATGCTATTGAGCATTGTCCACTGCAAGCTTAATATCAGTAGCCATATAGCATTTCTTCTGTATCTGTAAGCTTACAGGACAGCTTGTAATTTCACACAATTTTAATCAAATCAAATGATTTCACAATTTTCACTATAACAAAAAATATAGTAAAAAACATACATGAAACAGAAAAGAATATCTTAGTGACCACCATTATAATTTTTGGAGAAATAAATCATAGTTCAAGTTAATTACTTTTCATTCTTTGTTGACCAGTGCTCAATTCTATGAAATTTTATGCACAATTTGGTTTTGACTGATGCATTAGTTTTTTGTTTAGTGAAATTTTTTTCACTGAGCACAGAGCAAGGTAGGGTAAACACGGTATATTCCGACCTTGTGGGTAATTCCAACACTTCTCAATTTTTTTCCTTTATATTAAGCTTTGACTTAGTTCCACGCATTCATTGATGGTTGAAATAGTGACGTTATACTATTGCGTGCCATACTATTGCCAAAACACTAGGTCTGGCCGTCTGGCAGGAAAATGTTAAGATCCAAAGAGAGAAAGTGCACGTCACCCAGTGGAAACATCGAAAAATGTGTCAAAGTTGATAGTTGACCTTGCTCTACCAAATAGTGATAAACTGTTTGGATAAAAAGAATATTATGGTTTGAGACTGTGAAAATAAGTCTGTGAATATCAGGAATCCTTTAGGTATACTTGTATTTGCTGATTTCAAGTGTAAATAAATTAATAGATGATTAAGTTAAGCAACGGTTTTAGACACATAAAAACTAATTCCGACACAGCTTGGGGCCTTGGGATTAGACACACACAGCTTGTACCTAGCTGTGTCCAAAAATTAAAATTTTCTTGATTAAAAGCTTAATAGCTCTTAATTAAAAGCTTAATTAATAAATTAACATTTTCTGATTAAGCTTGTTCTGAGCTGTGTCGTATTCCAATACAGCTCACACAGCCTGACACAGGGCATCGGAATTCCAACACAGGGCGCCGGAATTACAAATTAATAGAGTTTGAATCGCTGCCAGAATTAGTCTCACATCATGCCAAATTTAGTCACACACAGCGTCGGAATTCAGGGATTTTGTAGGTTTGAATTCTAAAGGCTTTTAAATAGATATGGCAATAGTTTGTGATGTTTCATAGTTGCTGGCGTGTAGTGTGGTGTTTTGAGAGAGACGTAAACCAATCAGAACTTGAGTTGCGCATACGGTGATATTTTTATAGCCATTCATTTCTTGCTACATCCTTAATGTGTCGGAATATACCGCATTTACATAAATGTAATCAAAATTATCTGTTGTTACTTTTTAATTGATTTTTTCACTAACTCTAACTAGAGCCTTTGCTAACAAAGGTTATACTGTAAATGCGATTTTAGGGGTGTCCTGGCAGTGTGGAAATCCAGAGGGGTAATATATTAACAGGTAAACATAGCAAATCGGAAAGCACGCAGGACCCAAAAATCTGGAACGTCAAGCACACTTCCACTTTCAGTCCATCATCATCACTGATGAGTCTCTGCAAGATGCCACAGCTGTTTCATTGAAAAAAACAGCACTTGCATCATCACAGTAACAAGAATCCAATCAACACTTGAACGCGTCCAACGTAACAGTCACAAGAATTCAATCAATGCTTGAATGTGTCCAACATACTGTCACAGGGATCAAATCATCGCTAGAACGTGTGCAACATCACAGCCACAAATCCAATCAGCAACAGAAAGCTAGAAGGGACCGCCTCAAATGCACACAATGTTAACGCACTGATGCTAACTTAATGCATAATGCTACAATTCTTATTTCAAGAGCGTAATACAACAGTGTAGTTATGTCATTATTGATGGAAATCGCAAAGAATAACATCTTCACTATGTACACTCACTCACAAATACATGAAAAACTGCCTATGATTCAATCCACAAATACAAAACTGACCACCAATGCAATCAGCTAAGACATACAATCTCCTTTCGTTGTGATCAGCCAAACAAAAACTGTAAACAAAGAAGAAGCAGGGATACCAACCGCACCGGCAACCAATGTGAAACAGACATCAATATAGTCATGTGAAAAAAGGAAAGATACGAATTCTTCTATATTAACAATTTATCAGTAACTGACATTCAACAGAAATCAGAATGGTTTAATAACCTTTGTAAATATTATTCATGCATGCGTGAATAATATTTATATATATATAAATACTATTAATATAATCAATCGTGTGCAACAGTGGCCGCGTGGCGGGAATCTATGATGGTTAGTTCTCATTAAGCAATCGGTGGGTACTGGGTAAGGTACCTACAGAACATTACTGCTGCTACTGCAAATAAAGCTCCCAAACTTCGAGACGATAATTGAGTGAAAACTTTACATGATATATTGTGAGCCTTCTAAAGTTTTTTTTAATAATGAAGAAATCACAAGGTTCACAGAATCTAAAAGTTTGAATGCTAAATTTTTGACTTTCGAGTACTCTATTGACTATTGAGTCTATTCTAGTCAGTCAACTGTAACTGTGAAGGGTCATGTTTGTTGTGCATTGCCTTTTCTTCGACTTCAAGAAGTTTCTCCAACTGCCGATGAGTTTGTCCTCAATTTGAAAGCTGAGGTAACGAATAGGTGCTATTAATGTTTTTTATATTTAATTTGAAACTATCATGTTGGGAGTAAATAGTATTTCCTTCTGTAGATCCAGCCATCTTGCTCAACTGTGAGTGACGCGCGCAATTAACAATCTTGCATGGGACCATCTCTGTGTTGCCTGACTTGATCTTGATGTTCATACGATCATATTCATAGCTACCGCAACCGAAGCCAATTTCTGATGGCCTGCAAACCTGTTTCAGTGTTTCTAGTTGCCTGGAACATTTTTTTTTACGGCAGAACACTTTTTTTATGTGAACCACGAATTTTAGAATTCCAGCTTAAGAACTAATAAGGCTAAGGGACCCTTAGCCGGGGTCCCTTATTAGGCTATTACCCTGTCTTGCGGAAATGGCCACCATTTTTTTTTGAATGAGTCACAGATTGCCCGGTTCACACTGCTTACGTCAGTTATTTGAGTAGCTTTTTTTTACCACGTTGGAACATAGTGGCAAAGCAGAGAGTTTTTTAGACTCTCCCTCAAGTTCATTTTTGAGTCCTATAAGTAGACAAGTAAAGCATAGTGGCAAAGCAGAGAGTTTTTTAGACTCTCCCTCAAGTTCATTTTTGAGTCCTACATGTACTAGTATGGAATATATCTACTTGGCGAGCCGCGACTGAATTTTTCGAGCCGTGGTTTTATGGATTTGCCAGCCGTGATTCCATTTCACATTATCATACTTAAGAAATTGGTTTAAATCTTGAGTAAATGAGGAAATTAAAAATGAATTGATTCTGAAAAAGCTCTGGTTTGCCACTATGCATAGTAACTTGGTAAGGAGTGAGCACTGAGTGGCAAGCAGAAAGTTTTTTAGACTCTCCGTCAAGCTCAAGTTCATTTTTGAGTCCCATAAGTAGACCAGTAAACTGAGTACCTACCTAAAGACTGTAAAGTATCTTGGTAGGCTCCACTGTGCAGAGAGTGAACGAAGATTTAAAGACCTACGGCGACGCATTATCGGCAAAATTTTCGCCTTCAGAAGATCTTGCCGACACATTTAATTAAAAATTACCCGGCGACGCATCTTTAAAATGGCCGGCGACGCTTTGGGCTTAAAAATCCATATATTGGCGACGCTGCATCCACCCTCTGCATAGTGGGGTAGGCTGGATACCAGTCTCCAGAGTCCAGACTCCAGTCTTATGCATTAGAAATTGGTTTAAATCTTAGGAGTATATGAGGAAGTTAAAAATGAACTGATTCTAAAGAATCTATGGTTTGTCACTAGTCACTATAGCCTAGGGACTAAGGAGACATGTCTGCCAATCTGCCAGTGTGCGCGTGGCATGGGCGGCCCGCGGCCCATGATCCGAATCCGATGATGATCGGTGATCAGTACTGGTTTTTAATGCGTACTAACACAACTGAATAAAATATTGCAACGAGAAGCGAAACAAATACAGACGTATAATACTGGAGACATAGTAGAAATCTCTAGGTAGTTTTTCTCACGATCAGACTCGCGCACTCACGCTCGCGACTCGTCCACGGGTCCACCTGCCCCCCTAACACATCCAATCACTATAGCCTGTCCAGCCTCACAGTCCAGGCCAAATGCATGGCGAAAAGCAGGCCCTTGATATTACGTCAGCTGTCCGCAGTAACATATTTTTTTATTTTCAAAGAATATTCGGGTAAATTTATTTCTGATGACTACACGGTTTGAAATATTTGGGATCGAGTAAATTCACCAGGAATGCAGTTAGAATTTATATTGCTAATGCAAAGCTGAGTAAAAAATTTTTAGCCAACTTGTATTTGAATTTTAATGTTATTAATATGTACTGTTGTTTTGGATCTAGAAATAATTTCAGGAGCTGGAGCGCTGAAACAAAGAATTGACCCATTTTATTTTTATCTTAATACTTATGCTGTCTACTTAGATATTAGGCAAATAAACGTATGTTTGGTGCCCTTTCATGAGTCTTTCCAGAACACGTGACAACCAGGTCGACACTCCTGCGTTTAGATTTGATCATTCGCATAGTTTTCACATAAGTATGAAATATGACAACAGATGGACTTATAGCCATTTTACAAAGCAGAGGTAATCATGCATTCTTTTAAGTTTGATACAATCATCTTCATTGAAGTATTTAGTAGCGATATATTCGTGAAAACCACCTTATATGGTGCTTTCGGCTTGTGTGTATGGATCTTTGAGCGTGTTATTGAGAAGCCCTTTGTGTCTTTCATTAGCGTTTCTGAGCGACCGAATCGACACTTCTCCGTCATGAGCGCCCACCACCACAGAGCTCGCGGTACCTGACTGCAATTCTCAATTGTGAGGCTAAGTTGTTATGGAGGAAAGATTCCTTGCCTTTCTCTTTTCTGTGACCATTTTACGTGGGGTCGAAATCTCGTGTAGCCTGTGCGACCTATTTATTAGTGTACCTGCTTCAGTAGCCTGGCCGCTTGAGGCCTTCCACACATTTGTGAATGATGAATGATTTGCGAAATTCGGTGCATTTGAGACTTTTCGCCTTGCTGGTGCGTAACAGTGGCGGCTCATAGATCTGGCTAATATTAGCCGATATCTCGTGTACGGGACTAGTCGTTGCTTAAGTTACAGAGGTGATTAGTGGGCTGCATGCAGCGTTACCAGGAAGCCAACAAAGTTCGAGTTATTATATATTATTTAATATTAGTCGACGCGGGAACAATACAAGCTAATGGTAATTAAAGCTAATATTAGCTGATCGAAATTTTCGTTTATTTTTCTTATCCAGTGGCCTGGAGCAATTAACAGAGCATGAAGTTACAAAAATGGATTTTATACCCGGGCAAGTGACATGAGTAGGACTGAATCAGCCATGAGCGGTACAGACGTAACTGTGCTGCCATTAAAGTTCACAAAACAAAGTCGATGATGTTTACAAGTTATCTCGTCATCCTACCCTATTTTTTACCCACACCCAATGTTGATTGACACAATTTTTCATCTCCTCACATAGAGTAACAAGAATTTCATCAACTGATTCATCGAAAGCCTCCTGTAAGTCACCGTTGTCACGTTTCAATATCTTCAGCCAAGCGAACTCTTCAATGGCATGAAATTACAGCTGAAACTTTGAGAACGATGCAATGAAGGCGATGAATAGAAGAAGGAGCTAGCTATTCATGTCCAAATAATGACTCCCTTAACCCTGTTCTGGCATCTTAACTCCGTCACACATTCTGGTGCGTATACCAGTGTGAAAATATGCCAAACAACGTCTACATCAGCGAATAAATTCCTGAATTTGTTGTGTAGTCGGGTAGGTACTTCGCTTAGCTATCTTATGATAATATAATTTAATATGAAATTAACGCAGTCTACTCGTAATATAACATTCTTCGTTATTTTATATGCTTTATCTTGATCCATGAAACTCTTAGGTACTTGTTTCCTTTTCTACGATGAAAAAGAGAGCCCGATGTCGGGCAAAGCGGTTGTATCTTCGCCCCCAACAACAACCAAAGAAAATAATATCAATAAAGATCACTACTTTCGAATGTTCAAATCAGGATTCTCTTCTTTCATTTGGCTAGTGCAATGGAAGCTCGAGTTTATCTGCGCTGTTCATCTCTTTGCAGCCTCCTACGGAAAAATATCTTTCGATATAAACAATTTCAATTGAGTGTTTCTCGTACGTCAGTTTAAAGAAAATCCCTGAATATTTTCATCAGGTGCTGGCTTTTTGATGGGTTTCACATGTGCTTACCATTTCCGTATCAATAGTTTAAATCGATCAATAGTAAATAAAGGCTCAAGGTGACTCGCCCATCTTCTCCGAAATCTCAAGCTGACGTTCTTGAACTGACCCGCTGCTCCTAATTAGTGGAATAATGCTTAAAGTGCACTCTTCATATTACAGGAAACAACAACAGAATAATCAGTTATCACTTGACAAAAATCACTGAACAACTGGTGCAAGAGTGCTGCAGTTATCACCAGCATTAGTGACCCAGCGGCAACACTGATGGACAGTTTCGCGGCCACGGAACTGCCCGGCGCGGCCGCTCATCCGCCGATGTCGATGCCGGGGTAGAAGTCGTTGCAGGCGTCGGTGTTGCAGCACTTGGCGCACACCTCCACGTAGATGCCCAGGCCGCGAGGTCTGCACCCGAAGTAGCAGGTGTCTATGCACGATCTCGCCAGCGTCGTCAGTACGCCATTTATTTCTGTGCGCTCCACCTGTCGAAACAAATTCACATTTGGAAAAATCTGAACTGGAATACTTCGTGAATATATGTAATGACGCTAGTAGTAACGAGTGCACCAGAAAATAAAATTTAAAGATAAATTGAATTTCTGTATAGTGATTGCTATAAAATTCTTAAATTCCAGATTGGTCATAATATTATTATTCAGCGTACTAGCCATGCCTGTCAAGAAGTCAGCAATTGAGGCCCATGTATTGTATAAATTAAAATTCTATTCCATATTGTAAAGTGTGTGTGAGCAAGGGCTGATATTGTCTTCTGATTAAAGTAGATGCTTGAAATGTGGTTGATATTTGAAATGTTTCGATATCAAAATAACGCCCGTTGGTCCCCAATAAAAATGAGGCACATGAGTTTAACCAATTGTTATTGAGTGTTTAATGTATAATGAAGAAAATTCGTAATGACGTGTTACTAAATTTTTTACATTTCACGGTGAATTGCAACTGGCACGAGTTGGCTTTAGAGTTTAAAATATAAAACTTTATAGTTGTATTACAAATCAAATAGTTTCTGGAAATCTGACCTTACAGAAAATGTCGCGTACTCCGCAGTTGACGAGGTAGTCGGGATGGACGGCCTCGCCATGCCTGCCCAGGCACGGGTGTAAGCTGTCGTAGCCTGTCTTGAAGTCCAGCGAGCACGAGAAGCACGACAAGTTCCCCACAGTCGCTGCGGGGTCCGGAGCCTCGGTCGCCGGCTCATCGAATCCGAACGGCCGGAATATCGGATTGCCGAACCGATCGAACTGAAATTGACCTGGAGTATGGAAAGATCACTGATCATAAGAATAACGAATTATTTAACGACCTATAGTCGTTTTGTTTCATCTTTCGAACAAGTTAGAGGCCTAGTGTTTGAGTCTACCAGGTTAAATAACCTCATAAGTTCTGAGGCTTCAAAGAATGACAACGTTCCATTCGTACTTCAAAAATGTCAGTCCAGGTCGCATGTTTTTTTATTTTTTTGTTTTTGTAAATGGAGCATACTTGGATCCCGAAAATTTCTTTTTTTATGCTGCGATAGAAATTACTGAAAAAAAACACAATTATTACATGTTCAATAAATCTATTAATTTAAAAAAGATAAGAAATGCTCGGATTTCACATCTGATAGATTGTTCTGAATATTATCCTCCAGTAACACCGGCGAGGTTTTTAGGACATTTCTCGCCGTTGTACTTTCTACTAACAAAACAAGATATCCAATCGAATAAATATTCCGATTCACATCGGCTTTCCCGTCGTAGTTTAGAGGTTTTGTCCTTTTTTACTCATGGGACTGGCGGGTTTGATGGAGCAAGAGATAATCGTTATACAGGTCAGAGAAAATCGCTTTAGATTCAGAAGCTGATGTTACAGACTAGCAGAGGTGGGCAGTAGCGCGCTACATGTAGCGGCCGCTACTAGCGGCCGCTACATTTTCAGTAGCGGTAGCGGTAGCGGCTCTACATTTAAGGCAATGTAGCGGTAGCGGTAGCGCCCGCTACATATTTAAGTAGCGATACGAGGTTTTGCCGCTACAGCGCTACCGCTGCATTCATAGATAAAGCCTTTAGATTTTACTTAAGGGGACCGGCTACCCTCCAACAAAACTTTTCTGTTTACAGACGGATCGTTTTGAAACTTGGTACACATATGTAAAACAGAAATCTAAGACCTTTTTGTTCATGTAAATTTAAAAAAATGAAAGAAAACGTGGAATTAATAGAAAACGGCAAATAAGGGGTACTCATAAAAAAGTTTATAACTTTTGCAAATCACGTGTTACAATGTCGAGACACATATCATTCGATTTGTAACAACAATATCTAGCGACTGTAGAGCCCCGTCTTTTGATTTTCCTCAGCGTTTTTTTCGCGTTCTTCCCATTTTTTCACTCTCATTTTTCCCCCCCCCCCCACCTTCCTCCCCCTCCCATATATAAGTCAAACCATGCACATATTAAAAAAAGGCTTCTAGAGTCGCTAGGAATTGTTTTTACAAATCGAATGGTATGTCTCTCATTGGCGTAGCTTGAAAACTGTTGGAGTTATAATTTTTTTAAGATGGCGTTTTTTGTATTTTTAAATTGTTCAGGGGAGCCAAATAAAGTAAAATTCATTGAAAACAGAAGAATATGCCCAAAAAGTCTTGATATTGTAGCCCAAGCTTTCCCATTGCCAATTATTTGCAACCAAGGAACCAGAACGCGTCTTTATGTTCAATTTAACGTGAATAATAGGCTATAATGGGACTTTTTATATATAAATATATATAAAATATTCATTCTACATAAATTTACAATTGCATTACGCAAAAACTATTGCATGAACATCCATGTTAGTAACTTTGTTAAACGCGTCTTGTTTGTAGCTTTGAAACGAGTGCAAAAACTTTGCAATTAACCTAAATAATGACATATAAATACCATTTATTTGTAAATAATGATATAAAATGATCATTTTATAAAAGTTCAAGATTGCATTACACAAAAAAGTATTGCATGTACATCTATGGTAGTACATCTATGGTAGTAGCTTTGTTGAACGCGTCTCGTTTGTAGCTTTCAAACGAGTGCAAACACTTTGTAATTAACGAGAGTAATGATCTATATACACAGATTTAATTCAAATAAATCTTTGTACATATTGTTAAAAAATGTTCATATATATATTTTTAAAATTGTCTTACGCAAAAATTATAGCACGCACAGACATGCCGTAAACTGCGTTAGACGCGCCTTTTCAGCAGATACAAAATTAGTCAAGAAAACGGTAAAGCCAAAATTTCCGATTTTTAGGATAGCCGGTCCCCTTAATAGTATTAAATATTATTTAAAAACCAGCATGATACATACATAATATAAATTACAGAATAAAACTGTACGAAATATTTCGGTGTAATGTTGTCAACCTCAGCCTGTTACTGGTGTCAACATGTTGTTACTTGTTAAGTTGTTACCAGTTACCACTAACATTTTTTTTCATCTTTCAGTTTGCTTACAGTTATTTTTATGTTTCACCTTCCCTACATGGATGTCTACTTCAATCTACCAATCTCAAAAAAAATCCACATATATATAAAAAAAACTGAATTTTATATGTATATGTCGATAATTTCTTAGATTGGTAGATTAAAGTTCACATCCATGTAGGGAAGGTAAAACATAAAAATAACTGTAACTTCTATTTACTGTATCTAACCCTGGGGTAACCCATACTAGTTCGGTTAGGTTAATTGCAATGAAGTTGCATTGATATGTTTTAAAAATGTTTTAGTATCATTAAATGTTAATGAGTAAATTCCAATAGCAGAACAATAAATATTTAGAGATTTCCAATAATTTTAGCCATTGTAGCGGCTAATGTAGCGCGCTACATTTTACTGTAGCGGTAGCGGTAGCGCCCGTTACAATCTAGTGGCTGTAGCGGTAACGGTAGCGCCCGCTACATTTAGAGCATGTAGCGGTAGCGGTAGCGGTAGCGCCGCTACATTTCCAAGTAGCGCTGCCCAGCTCTGCAGACTAGACATTCAAAGTTCAAAAAATAACAATAACTGTGGCAAACCTCGTGCTTTAATCGTTGCTGTTTACTGAAAATTTTCCCAAAGCTGTGCCCGGTTTTCAATATTCTTCTGATACGGCTGTTCTATTCACATTTATGTGAACTCGTGTAGCTAGTTTTGCGTGCGATTTTTGATCCACACATACTTGTGGAATGTGCATGTGAGTGTATGAAGAACTCACGTACAAAGACAAATGGAACGTATGAGTTGATAAAACAGAATCGCGTAATTTTAAAAAACTGTCGTGAGTAATTCTATATATAATATTATAGATTCGCGTGCTCTGAATAATCCTCAAGGTATGTCAGGGCGACACACTCATGCACTTTAGAATAGAATAGAATAGAAGTGTCGGCGTTGAAGAAATAGGCCCATGGCCTGTTGCCGATTCTTGAACTTTTCGTGACTTGATTCACAAGGGATCCGGCCTTTGGAACCCGATCTTACTTATTGCCTGATCCGTAATTTGCTAGGCATTTTAAGACTGAACATATGCTCCTGCATAGCTTCGTCTAGTCTGTTTTTGAAGATGTTCATACTCGGAGCT